AAGTCTGTAAACAAACGATAAGTTATAGGTTAGGTTTGTACATTTATACTTGTAATTATTAAATGAGTAAATTAAACTTACACTTATAGAAAACTACTAAAAAAAACAAAACAATTAAACATAAATATCACAATAAAAACTATAAGTATTCCAAACTTAAACTAACCACAGCCGTTAATACATACTACGGAAGCTGTCCCCCCACATTTTCAGCCTTGCAATCTACATGGCGCGTCCCTTCTATAGGGTCTTTAGTATTTTAGCACGTTGAGCGTCACGCGAATTCTTAGGAAAATTTCCGTCAGGCCACAAGCATTATTTTGTATTGAAAGAATAGCTGAATGTGTCGGTCACCCATGACGGACGCGGCCTAAATGGAAAGTCTAGTGTCAGTCATTAATGACTGACGTGGCGTTCAACATGTTAAAATAATAAAATATTTATAAAAAGCAAAAAAATAAGAATTGCTTTGTAAAATTATTTGTTACTCATAGATTGAATAAATAAAAATGCTTTAATGAATTATATTACATTTGAAGGGACAATTTATCTTATTATCTTATGAAAAATATCAAGATGACCATGAGTTTATTACACATGTTGTTGCTAGTAAGATTTAAATACAAAATATAAAACATTTTACAAAATCTATAAATTATTATAAATTTATATAAATTAGAAAATATTAGCTTTATTATTCTGCTTTTTATAGGTTTGAGGAATTTTTTAATGATATCTTTTCAATATACCCTATCTTTCTATAGCAGTCTTTCATTTCACTGGAATCAAGAACACATGGTGTTAAATGAGATGAGGCCGTTGATTAATTAATAAAAAATATATAACAAATGAGAAAATTATGAATAAAAATATATTAACATATAAAATTGTTCATTTAATAATAAAATAGAGAAATAATGTAATTGTATGTATAGATGGGTTGAAAAGTTTTGAATTTTACATAGAAACAATTTTGTATCGGTCGAAGTTACTTTTATTTAAAAAAATAATACAAGTTTACTTTTTTGTTCATATATATTTTATTGAATACTATTTCATACGTTGTATTAGAAAGAAAGGGAATAAGGGATGATTAGTAATAGAATAATTTCATCATAGCGTTAATAATTCATTTATTAAAACTTTCTATAATATCTAAATTTCCATAGTCTGTTCAATCCTCACCTATACGTCTTTCCCTTAGTTGTTACTCGTTATATAATGTTTTATTCACATCCCCCTAAAAGCATTTACCTATGTCTTTTGAATTCGCATTGTCTTTCATAGCTAATTGTAAGTCCTTTTAAAAGGTTTCTTTTTGCATAATAGAAACGTCGTATAGCTCGAGAAATTCTTCTAAATGCGCCCGTTCTTTTGGTTTGTTTTTATTTAATATTTTTTTTGTTTTTTTTTTTTGTTTTGTTTTTTCTTTTCATTTATTTTTCATCAATAAAGATAATCGCGCAGGAAACGAGACAATTTTTAAATATAACATTTTGGCACTAAATCTTTCATCGCTAAATTATTTAATTGGCACTAAATTATATATTTGGCACTAGAAATTATTTAATACAATAACAAATTAGAATGACAAAATAACATCTAATATATTATAGTAATTTAAAATGATAAAAATAATAACAAAATTTCATTTAAAACAGTTTAAATGTACAGCGAAATTTTTAAATTAATTTTTTGGTTTATTTTTCTCTCCTTAATCGAGAAAATTAAATATGATAGCATAATCTGCTTGTATTTTTAATACGTTGACTTCAACCGTGAAACTCATTTCACAACGAGTAATCAGAGATATGTATTCTCACTAAACGCTCTGAATTGAAACGCTGTGTATCTATACGTTCAGACAGGAACGCGTCTTTAAAGTTTTTCGTTTTATTTATTTTTTTTCTTTTTTGTTTCTTTTTCTATGAGTACAGTCCTGTAATGGATCTTTGCTCCTCTCATCTTGTTATGTACATTTCGATTGGGTATTATTATATATATTTTATTCTTTATGTACATGCTCGTATTTCTTGCCTTGCCAAACTTGTCTTTTGTGCGTTTGGACATATTGTTATTTAATTGTATATGTATATATAATATAATCCGTATAATATATTATTATTATTATAATAATTATTATTATTATTAGTATTAATTCTGAGTTTCTAGGCAGTTGTGTGTTATTTACGCTAAATACGTTTGAGGTTTCTTAATCCCTAACAACGAAATATTTGGATTTGTGAATTTGAAATTTAAAAGAAATTTATTATCATAAATGATGGCAGATATTTAGTATAATACGTTTGTATGATATTTACCATCTCTGATTTATCATTCGTTCAATAAGTTTTTTAATTTAGTATAAATTTTCACTGAATTTTAAGGAAGTATAAAATAAAATTATATTTTTGTTGTAACCGATATTTTCATTAAAGCTTAGGATTTTTTTTTTATAAATCTTTGGTATCATAAAAATGTTATGATTAATTGATATAATTCATACGTTTTCGTTACTTGTTACTATATACTTTCGTTACTATAATACATTCGTTTTCCTACTAATTTTTCTATGAAATCATTTTTCCTATATTTTTGACATTATTTTTAGAAATTAAGTTTTATTGTAATTTTGTTTATTTTACTAATATTCTTGGTTCAAATATATCGTTAATATATTTCGATATTTGTTAGTGCAATTTTCACGAGTTTAAATATCAAATATTTTTAATTGGTCTAATTTTTCTATATAAAATCTTTCCGACATTAAGATTAGTGAAAATTGAATATACAACGTAGAAAATAAACAAAATTACAGTAAAAATTTTTATATACTTTCAAAAATAATGATAAAAATAATTGGAAAAGTGATTTTACGAAACAAAAGTAAAATAACACGTTTATACGAATGAATTTTTATAATTCTAAAGAGTTATGAAAAAAAATCTTTATTTTTGATGAAATTATTATTGTTATAACAAAATAGTACGAAATACTTCTTTTTATTTTGTTAAATTTTAACAAAATTGAAACAACATCAAAATTTCGAATTTCAAATTTCACATGAATGTTTATCCAAAAAATGTCTAACTAGAAACATTTAATAACTTATAAACATACTATATTTAATGCATTCTCTTTTCATTTAAAATCAATTTCGTTTGAATCTTAAAATTCACTGATCCAAATATTCCATTGCGATATTTATTCATTTCATTTCTCTATGTTAATCGTCCACGTTCTTAAATCTTTCACGTGTTCCATTTTTTCTCCTATTTTTTGCTTGGCATTCATTGGTTTGGAAAAAAAAAAAACTAAAAAAAAATAAGAAAAAAAATGGTAAGAAAAAAAATCTAAATCTATGCATGCATACCTGATTTCCTTACAATTATGCTCGCGTACAACGTATTTGTACGAGAGAAAATCATCTCGTAATTATTTTTAAATTTGGCTTCATTTTATTTAACCCAAGCGTTCACATGTACGTACACTTACTCATTAATACTAAATTAGTGAGAAACACATTTAACGAGTATTTGCACGTACAATAGTAGCTCGATTATAAAACAACTACGCCATTTTTTCTTATTCAATTTTCCATTTCAATTTTCTACTCTCTCATCATTTACAAATAATTCGCGAACGTGTGCATTCCGAATGAATTCGTTCTATGATGTTATTTATTTATTTATTTATTTATTTATTTTCGATTTTTCTTGTATACCTTCCCTCGTTTTTTTCAAGGTATCAGCATTTCTCTCTCGAAGGATTATTTAATTTGAAATACTTGTTTTGTTATCATCGTGTACAACGACTTCGAGGTTTCGGTATATAATAATATATAATGTTCTTGCTCGAAGGAAAACTAATATAATATGCTTTTGCCGCTTGATAATGCAACGTGCAACGTTTTTTTTTTTTTTATATCTCATTTGTTCCTTTAACCATTAATAATAATATTTAAATATCGAAGCGAATTATTCTATTGAATATGCAGAAGTATCGCTGCAAAAAAGAAATTATTTCTTGCTTACTTGATGCATCTTTTTATTTATTTCTTTTTTTTTTTCATTATCATCATCAACATCATCGTTATCGTCTTCTTCTTCCTCTTCATCTTCATCTTCTTTTTCTTCTTCTTCTTCTACTTCTTTTTCCACACGATTTCGACGTGTGATATTTGCGTTAATATCCGCGTACTCGTGTAATTTTATTTAGACTTATATTTTACGAATTATAAATCGTTCAATATTTTATGCTATTTTAATTGTCGACTACGTTTTGCGTGCACTTTATTGCTGCCTGCTAATGTTAAATCTCTGCCAGCATTTGCATTTTTCTTTACTAATTAAATTTATCGTTCCTTTTGCAATTAACTGCTTATTTTCTTTTTAACGTCTGTGTGTTTTTTTTTTTTAATCATTATTTCATATATCAGCCTTAAGGAAATATGCCAAGCCTTTTCTTTAATTTTCATCAATTTCGTGTCATCGTCATCATCATCATCATCATCATCATCATCATCATCATCATTGTCATCTTCGTCATCTTTTTATCTTTTCTTTTTTTTCTTTTTTTTCTTTTTTTTTTTGCCTTGTCATCCTATACTTCGAGAGAAAAGTGTTCTACGGTTCCGACATTTTATTTCTATTACTTTTGTGTTGTAATTGTTTTTTCTTCTTTTTTTTTTCGAGTTTTGTTTCGTTTCGTTTCGTTTTGCAAGAAAATAGTGAACAATACGTTTCTTACAAATCGCGCGCGCGTGATTAATGGATAGGTACTTATAGTTCAGACAAAATTATAATATATTTCGTCGGTTTATCAAAATTGTTTTTTATCCAATATAATAATACCGGTCGGTAGATCGAGTTTATCGCGTCAAAACTTCATAAAACGTGCTTGTTTATTATTGTTATTATTATTATTATTATTTTTTTTTTCTTTTTGGGTTTCTTTCTTACGAATCGTTGAAGGCGCATTTCTTGTTTTTTTTCTTTTCTTTCTTTTTTTTTTTTCTTTATACAGAATATCTTATAGGAATTAATCCTACTCGATTGTTAAGTGATTCTCATAAATTGTCAATTGAACTCATTCGAAAAGAATTTTTTTTTTTAATTATTATTTTTCGTCATGTCCTCGATTATTTAAGATAATCGAGTAAGCTTATTTCAATACGATGTACTGTATAAAAAAAAAAAGAAAAAAAAAGTACTAGTTATTGAATACAGATACCTAACTACAATACCTCCTTGCACGCGCAACGAACCGTGCTTTATCCAAAAAAGTAAGAAAAGTGGAAATATCGTAAAAGCTATGACAGACTAGGGTCTAGGCTATACACGGTTTCATTATTATTTGTGTTTGCCTCTGTGTGTATGTATGTATGCATACGTGCTAGTATGTGTGTGTTGTATTTTTTTTTTTGGTTTTTTTAGTTTAAATTTAGTTATAGATGTATCCTCGAACGCCTTTTATTATTTATTTATTTTTTTCATATAATATTATTGTGATATTTCTTCTCGTTAAAGGTCGTCTTGAAAAAATGTCTTTTTTTTTCCCGAATAAAAAGGCGCTTTATGAAGAGTAAAATGTACTTATTAGATTTCGCACTCATTTAAGAAGGTTCTCATGCATTATCGGTGTGTGTATATGGTTGACTTTAAAATGGCAAAACGCGTTAATTACGTTTTCATAATTACACGTCGTAATAACGTATGTTTATATCTGTTAACATGTACATATACAAGGTGTTTGAGATTTTTTTTGATCAAACTATGTCAGCATATTTTATGCAGGAAAATAAGAAAAAAAAGTAGATCATTTAAAGCTTTATTTCAAAGTTATGAAACAAATTGTAAATCATTTAATTTTTTGTTCACCGACTGATTACACAAATACAAGTCATAAATCTATGTATACGTGACTAAATTAATGTATTTTATTTTAATTGTGTTAATGCATGTTCAAAAATACTGATCGATGTGGTATCCTATTGCCAGACAATTTGCGTTGATATTAAATAAATTAATAAAATATTAAATAAAATTTTTAATATAAAATAAAATATTAAATTAAAATATTTTATTAATTAATAATTATATAAAAAATATAATAAATAATTATAAAAAATTAAAAAATAATCTTTATTAATTATATTAATAAATTAATATTTCAGTTCCATAATGCATATCGGTAATAAATTTTATCTTTTCTTTTTTTCAGTTTAAAAAAATTTTCAGAATTTCGATCAGTAGTAGTACCCCCATCCATACATAATAAAAGATTAATATAGATTGGGATTCGCTAAATAACTTCGAACAAATAAACGTCATAGATAAAAATAAAAAAAGGTAAATTGAATCTATTGAAAATTTAAGGACAATCCTGTTTGTTGAGTAAACGTGAACATTTGTAATTGAAATCATAATTTTTTAATAAAACTTTAAATGATCTACCTTATATAATATTTATTTTTTATTTTACTGTATAAATTAAGCTGACACCGTTTGATCGGAAAAATCTTAGATACTTTGTATACATACATTATACATCGTATTATCTCGATCAATTTGTTTCTCTACTCACAAAATACATACTTATCATTAACCCTCTTGATTCTTATCGATTATTAATTCGTGCATACTATTTTTGCAAAATTTACGAATGCGATAAACGATCGAAGTTATTGTCCTATCTTTTTTTTCTTTTCTTCTTCTTCTTCTTCTTCTTCTTTTTTGTCTTTTTATTTTTATCGTCACTTTTTTTTCTAAATGCTCGCTAAACGTGAACTATCATTTTGGTAACTGCGTTCGTCCCTTTTTTCTAATTTTAATTATTTAGAATATTTACAATAAGAATTTATATATGACGTATTCTAATAGACGATTTTTTATGTTCTTAACGTATAATGTGTCAAACTTATAATATAAAAAATGAACGAAAAACTTGATCGTTTATCACATTCGTGTTTATTCATGATTTTACATATGATTATAATAATGCGTATGAAAAAGAGTGCGTAGGGGTTTTAATTTTATATTATACAAGACGTATTAGAAACATTTCATACACCGCGACCATTGTATTTGTTTTTTTTTTCTTTTCTTTGATTGGAACGAAATGAAATATTTATTGCTAACTTTTGAAGAACTGTTGTTGGTACGTTAACTTATTTTAATTCAATATATCTTATTCCATATGATGTTGATGTTTCAAAGGTTTTTATAAAATGGTGCAGCTCGGCAGTGTTTAATGTTGATGATGACGTTTAATAGGTCGATCTTCAGTATACTAATGTGTCCAAAGTAATTTTGTTTTTTCAATTAATTAACCTAACAACGTATCTACGTGATAGTAGAATTAGACATTTTTGTCGTCGACTAAAAGAAAAAAGCGAGTGTGGATAATTCGTTTATCTAATTAAACCTTTTCTTTTTGTTCCTCTATGTTTTTTGTTCTTTTTTTCCCCTTTTTTTTTTCTTTTAAATATATAATTCGATAGATTTATGCTAATTCATGCTAACGTTATGTTCGAAGGTAAACTTGAGCTTTTTAAATACGGTCTTTTTTTTTTTTTTCTTTTTACCAAATACCGAGTAAAGAATTAGAAGCACAATGGAAGCAAAAATGTTTAAATTATTGAGATATGTCGTGATAACGATTTTCCACTGTTGCCTCGAAATCAATTTTATTAAGCTTTTTAATTTTATATTTTTGTTCCTCTTCTTTTTCTTTTTTTTTTTTAAATTTTGTTTTCTTTTTTCTCGACTTGGATTTTGAATCATTTGACGTACATGTGTGTGTGTGTGTGTGTTGTGTATTTTAATAAATTGTATTCAAGTGGTCACAAACTTTGTACCTTATATTGCACATATTATTGGTATCTCTAATGATTCTCTTCCCGGCAGTAGAAAAATGAAGAAAAGTTAACCTCAAGAAATTGTTACAAATCAATCTTGCTTCTTATTGCAATATATATATATATGTATATATGTAATATATACGAATTGATTTACGTTGATCGAATAATTTCTTACGTACACAAATCGAATATATCGCTTGTCCTACAATTATTACAAGAAACATTATGAATCTCATCATCGCACACAACTTATGGAATTACTTACTCGAAGATAAAAGTATAAAAAAATCATTAGTCTCAGACTCTTTTCTTTTAAAAATCGCCGGGGCTTTTGGCGCTGGTTCATTTCTTTCAAAAAACGATTCCGTCTGGTCGATTGTCCGCATCTATGGAAGTCATTCAAGAAAGGAAAATTCATCCTTCCTTGAATAAATGTGTGTTGTCTCGTACACCTTCAGAACTTATTCATACAACATTGTGTTTTTTCACATGCGAGTTTTAGTTAAAAGAATTTTATCTACCTTTATCATATATCGGTGTGTCACGATATTTATATTATTTATAATATTATATACATAATTATGTATATATGTACAATACTGTGAATAGGTTAATAGGAATAATCAAATATAAAAGAAAATATATTTAATATTAAATTATTTATGAAAAATTAATAAAATTAACATTGAGTGAACAATATTTTTATTTAAAAATGTATACAATAATAAAAAAAATATTAAATTAAACGATAAAAAAATTAACCTTAAATTTTTATTTTTTTATAATATAAAAAACAATACTTTTAAGTAAAAATACATTTTTTTTGGATTTCCAAAAAAAAAAAAATTTGTTGTATATTGTTATTTAAAAACATATAAAGAAATGCTAGTTTATATTTTATTATTACAAAAATTTTAAAAATTAATTTTATTTATTAATTATTTAAATAATAATAACAAATTATTCACGGCACTGTATATATACATATTTATAAGCATAAATATTGTAGATACATATATATAAGAAGAAAATAACTCACACGTGAAAGTAGATGAAAATTCAAATAGAATTTCAGTAATATTTTAATCAGAGGAAATAGAAAATGTGATAGTCGTCGATAGAGGAAACATAGATGTTCTGAAGGTGTGTTTTTTTTTTTATTCCAGATTATCCAATAACCATTAAGCTTTCTTTTCCATTAAGGCGCGATAGGGTCTTTGGAAGACCAGGAAGGAGTTTTTTCATAAAGGAACAAACTCTCGGTTATTTTTGTCTTCTTCTTCTTCTTCTTCTTCATCTTTTTCTTCTTCCTCTTCTTTATGTTTGCACTTTTTAAATGGTTTTGTAGAAGCGCAAGACATGTCGAATTTTCGACGTTCGTACGAATTCTAAATATCTTGATGTCAATGCCCGAAATGAAGAAGATCAGGACACTCCGTATGCACAGGCCGAGTTATCTGGTGGACTAATTTTATCCACCGGTAAAACCGCCGCTCTGTGCCATTCATCGCGTACCTGAAGAAAAGAAGATAATTGTAATGGAACTTATTCACTGATTAAAGGACTCATTATTCTCAAAGATTTTGAACATTTTATCATTCCATTAAAAGTAATTTTGAACAAAGCAATTGACAGTTCTTTTAATTATTCAATTAATTTTACGAATTTAATTTAAAATTGTGCAATTAAAAATTTACAGAAAAGTATATAAATCAATATAATTGTGTATATACGTATAATAATATTTTATTAATAAAGCATGGGAATAAATTTATAAAATTATATTTTACTAAAAATATCAAAAAGAAACAGAAAAAATTGTATCTTTTTTTAATTCGAAATATTAGACAAATTATTATAAAAGTATGAATGTATAATAATATTTAAATGACAAAGTATTAAATTTTCTAGAGTTATAAAATTAAACAAATCATATGAAATAAAATTGATTGATAAAGTATTTAAACGATCATATTTCCTTAATTTGAATGAAGCAAATCAATATAAAATAAAGGTGTATACGTGTGATAATATCTATTGATAAAGTGGAGTTGAAAAATAGGTCAAATGTTATTTCTTGAAGACATCACTTGCCAATACCTGTTCAACTTTAGCGAATACCCTTAGTAAATTGAGGCCAGCTAATTTTTTGATGTCTTCTTCGGTCCACGTTGGATCCTCTAAGAGCGTTGCCAGTAATTGAGGGTATCTTGATACATCTTCCAGGCCAATGGGAGTGCTAATGGTAGAATCATTTTTCTTTCAATATCTTGTTTGCATAAATATCGAGAAAACATTTAAACTGCTATTAAAAAAAAAAAAAAAAAATTATGAAAATACTTTCGTGCAATATTTTTATAATTTTTATCGATAAAACACTTTGCCGCTTATTTATATATATATATATTAATATGTTTTTAAATATATAAAATATTAATTACAAGTTTATTCCATCGAAGCCAGCTCCTATTCCAACGTGATCGATCCCTGCCACCTTTCGTATGTGATTAATGTGTGCTAAAATAGCGCAGTAGGTTAACAAACTGTTGAAATCGTTGCTAATTAATTTTTCATACGTCAGACTGATATTTACGATTTCGTATTATGAAATAAATTCGTTTCGATTGTAAAATGGGCATGAATAAATAGTATACTTTTCAATGAAAGCAAAAACAGAAAAAAAAATAAGGATACAGGGGAAGAAAACTAATTACAAAATACAAACTTATTTGTTCTTGAAAAGTCCACCATAATTGCATATATACGATTTATATTAATTAAAAATGACAATAATTTCGTGAAATTATAAATAAAGTCAACACGATGCTTATTACATAGATTTATTCATGCAATATTGATATGATAATATTTGTAACACAAACACCATGGTTTATGTTAGACATAGAATAATGTTTTACGTACCAATAACATCCTTAATGGTGGCGGTGTTGTTGCACGTTATGAAATACGTATAAAATGGAACCATCGCCACTCCACCATTTTTTGCCTATAGAGTAGATACGTTTATGTTTAAGCAAGTGTATATGTGTGTGTGTTTATACTTGGTTAAGTTGATGATGTTACTTCACATATAATATTTAAGTATGATTCTTACAGTTTAATAATTTCTAACGATGTATTTGAAAAAGATATGTGCATACATAAATGCAACATTGTGAATAATTATAAACTTAATTCAACTTTTAAATTTTATATAATATTAAAATAAAAATAATGAAAAATATTCATATAATTTCATATTACAATTTAAAAAATAATTCTGTACTACACTTGGTATAACGAAGAACCGATATTAATTGATTAACAAATCATGAAACATATTACTGTTTAATATTTATTCTAATGTTATTTTACCGGGTCAATAACTCAAAAGCATAAAATCGACATCAATGTGTTTCAAACATACTGACTCTATAAATATTCATAGTTTCAATAGTCTTGTTCCGTAATATTTCGTAAATAAGTTGTATAAGCAAATGACAAGAAAAAACTGTTGAAAAACTTAATATTGATTTATTAAATAAATTTTTTCTGTTTATGAAAAAATATATTTTATATTCTATACCCAGTGTCTTAAGAGTTGCTGTATAAATTTAGATTTAATAAATTTCCGGAGTAACAGTATATTTGTTTAGCAACATTTTAAGTGATGATTCATACAATGAAATAAAAAAATCAATTATTTTAATTTCATTTAACAAATCGATATGAATTTGTCTACTTTGTAGAAAAGTTGTTGCTTTGTTTTTTACTTTTCGTCGAAGTAATTTTCTGGGATATTCTGTATGTATATGGGAATATGTGTGTAAATATAAAATTGAATTCTCAACAAAAATACAATTTTCATAATATCATAAATTTGCTTACTAGATTTCTGAGTACGTCGTCCGGTACATTTCTACTGGAATTACAGAGTGCCCTTGCAGCACTGTGAGAGAAAATCACTGGTGCCCTAGTCGTTTGCAGTGCCGCTCTCATCGTCCTTGTGGAAACATGAGAGAGATCCACCAGCATGCCCAACCTATTCAATTCCCTTACTACTGCCTGAAATGTGAAAAATATTTATGTCGCGACTTCTCGACATCTAGTAACATCGCGTTTCTGTGATATATGAAAAATGAAAGAAAAAAAGAAAGAAAAAAAAGAAACCAGAAAAATATACATATATGATGTTTCGCAAGTGCATAAAAAATTTTGGTGGAGGAGGAGGAGGAGGAGTAGTAGTGGTAGAAAGAGAGAAATGAAATGAAATGTAAACGCTTGAAAATCATTGCGACATACGGAAGGACGTTTAAATAAATGATTTACCTTTCCAAATTCGCTGAGTCCAGGTGTCTCGTCCTGAGTGTTATTCATCTCGCCAACTGAACATACTGCCCTGCCAAGAAAATATCCGTTAGAATATTCCTCTTTATTTTTCTTGCATTAATCATCTTTTCAATCGATTAACGTGTCTTTTATTTTTCACACTTTGACTTTTTCATGTCACGTATATATAAGTGTTTTTTCTCATTCGAATGAAATATTTTAATATCGTCCAGGGTGTTTTACTTTAATTTCAAATATCTCAAGAAAATGTTATCATTGAAGTACGAAATGATAAAAGTACAAAATTGTATACAAGATTAATGATAATCAAATTTTTTATCGTTAAATTAATTTTTTTTTTATAAATCACAATACCAAAAATAATTAATATTTATTTTTATAATACTAAAATACGTTTAGATATATTTTTGGACAAAAGTACGCTAAAGATATTAAAAATTTTGAACTTAAGATAGAATATCCGGTATATTTAGAGAAAAATGAAAAAAGGACAAAGACACAGACTCACCAGGAAGTGTCACAGGCATGCGTCAAAGTAAGATATCGTGCCCCCAAGCCGTAAAATGTTCTGAGAACACCTAAAGAATTCCCAAGAGAATGACCACCTTCGACTCCGATCAGACTTGCAATTTTTCCGTCGCGATGTGCCTCGATCAGGCCTAAAAATTCAAACGAAACAGTTCCCTATTTTTCTTTACATTACAATGAAAATATTTTTTTGAAGCACAGATTTCATTTATAAATATTATGAAAAGAATTTGTTCAGAATCGTTTGATGTGTATCCTTTAGTAAATATTTAGACTTGTCTTCGTTGGTCAAAAGAATTTTATCAAACGTCCTTTAAGAAGATAAGACAAAACCAACAAAGATCTAACTAAAAATTCCTCTCTTTATCAAGCATTAAGATACCTGTAAAAATATTTGAATTTAATTTTTTAATGACGAATTCTCACCTTTGACAGAAGTAACCAGAGTTAAATGTTGAGCATTCATCTCAGCTAATCGACGAATTACGTCAATTTGTTCGAGAGAAAGTTGAACCGCGTTTAATTGTGCTGCATCGCAGGGAACGTAAGCGGCCCAGAACTATAAAGAAAAACAAATGAAATAAATGAGAAAATAAGAAAAGACGAATAATGAGGATTATATAAGTAAATCTTGTGGGCTAATGAAATATAGATTTTTTGTGACTTATGCAATACCGTTTTACTCGTTGGCAAGATTTTTCGATATAAGCATTAACAATAATATACACCCTTTCTTATACTTCTCCCTCCCCCTTACCCCAAGAAGATCTTTAAGTCGAGATTTTTTGTTGCCCTTTGAGCTCTGATATTCACAGGCCAGACCAGCATGACGGCGCTGCGCATCTATTGATTATCTGTGCGGAGTACCGCTGTTGGGCGTAGATAGGAAGAGATGGCGACGTGCGGTATAACAATGAGTGACAAAGACAATGTATATTTGTATGAGAACGTTTATTCCAAAATTAATTGATTTCACTTGAACCCATGAAAGCAATCATAAGAATAAAATAATTTATTTGTTCATTGTGTGATAAAAGTAAATGATTGTAATAATAGAATTTATTCAAAAAAAAAAAAAACAAAAAAGAAAACAAAAATCTGCTACGTTAGAAGGAATCATTTGATTGAAGATTACCTGTGCACCAACGAGGCCAGCGCGCAATCTAGGAATATCTGTATGACTCCAGTCCGATCTGGCCCAAGGGTCTACTCTTCCGAGATCGCTACTCAAGTTAACTTCACCCAGTTGATTATGTACGAACTTTCTTACGTTCCAGGGCAAATCGTTATGCCTAAAAAATAAGACATGTATTTGTCGATAGTTCGATTTTCATAAATTTTATTTTCAATTATCGATTCTAATAAAATTATTTTTCTCTTTAATAAAAAAATGATTAACACTAGATTTACGGACAGAGCCAATTTGACTCATTTGACCCATATATATATAGCAAACTAATTATGAGCTAGTTATATAACTAATTATAAGTAATATAAAATTTAAATATTATTTTAAAAAAATATATATTTATTTTTAATGCTTTAATGAAATATACGTAAATATTAATTCCTCCTCTCTACTATTTCATTCAAATAGTGTTTGTAAAATTAAAAAAAAATAGTGAACAAAACATCTGTAAATCTAGTGTTAACCCATTACCAGCTACAATACGAAAATGCAAAAAAAAAAAATTAAATTAACTCTATAATGATATTCAAATTAACTAAATAGAACTATTTTTGCAATGATTGTTTTTTTTTTTCATTTAAATATAAAAATTATTTTATATCATTTGATTTAAAATATCATTGATTTAAAATAAAATAGTGAGAATTTTTAATATTTTCATGAAGCAAAAAAGGACGTTGCCAGGTAATGGGTTAAGATAAATATAGGATTTACCGAAAATCTTTCTAATAAACTTTTTGTTAACGGATATTTAGAGTTACAGCAACTATACTTTTTTAATAATACTAGAATTCGAGATTAAGATCTTGAAATGAAACATTTTTGATGAACATTAATTTTTTACTTTTAAAGCAACTTTTGGGACATTCTGTATACTAAAAAATTTCATACAGATATGAAATTAAAGTTTTAAGGAAATCACTATTATCTTGCTGATAGATCGGATACGAAGATATTCAACAATTAGGATTTTTTTTTGTACTATCTTTTCACTCTTCATCTTTTTATGATTAGAATGTTGCAGTGGTCTAATTCAATCTAAAGGATAATCGAAATAAAATATTCTTGACCTAAAAGTATCGCAGCACGTAGTTCGATAGTTCCATCAGGTAAATTAACTTCTTACCTTCTAACATTTATAAGACTTAATTCGAAAAATAGACAATCTTGGCGAAATAGAAAAGTTTTGTATAAATTCGACTGAGGTTAACGTCGTCACTTTAAGTTCATTCTATAAACATAAGCTAAAACTTTGATTAGAAAATAAATAAAATAATTTTTCATCTGTAAGAAAAATTTTTCTTAACCATTATTTTTAAAATTTCTAGCATTTCATTAATTTTGTCAATTAGCATTTGCAACAATTAATTTTTTAGAGGTATAATTTTAAACAGCATATAGAAAATTGTATCATAAAACAATATTTTAAATAATATTTTGAAGATTGAACGAGGTATTTAATTAATGATTTTCTCTTAGAAATTCTAGTCGTGAAAGTATAAATATTTGACCTAAATTAAGTTCTCTATTAAGATCGGAGTATAGGTTACCCATCGATTAGAGGCACTTCAGTGAGAATCCTCCTTATCACGTCTAGTCTCTGCTGATGCGTGACAGGTACAGATTGTAACAAGAGTGGTAAGCACAAACCACCAAGAACCAAAGCCGCTATCAGAAATAGGATAGGTGTCAAAACTCGGCATCTTCTCCGAGGACTTTCATCCATACGATCCTTGCTGCTTCCACTGCTTGGTGAATCCTCGCACGGTGGTGGTATTCGCACAGTGCCATTGCACGGTGCCACGTCTGGCAGTTGTGTTAGGCACGTAGTCTGAAACAAAATCAGGAATGGACGTGTCTTTAAATTTTTACAATTTTCATCCGAAATCTGTCGGAAAACCCAATTCTCAAATCTTTTAAGATTTCATTTATTTTTATTTTTTTTATTTTTTTTTATTTTCATATCTTGTTATCAACAGATTTTAACTTCTATAGTTTGTCACAAATCTTTTCAATCGAATTACTCATTTTTTCTTTATATCTCGATAAAAAAGTGAAGTATTTATAAATTGATTACAGTACAGCATGATCCTTATGAAATTATGTAACTTTTATTTATAGTATTTCTTCGTCATGTTATAAAATTCATACATTGTATATTCTTTTATTAAAACAAACAATTTGATGTATTGAGTTTAATTTTTCATGCGTCGTCTTCAAAGTACCATAACACGTGTTAACTTGTCGTGTTTGGTTAAAAAATTAAAGACAACGAAATTGTTAAATAAAATTTAAGCAAACACACTTGTGAATAGCAATGTTATTTCTGTTATTGTGGAAAACGTTACTTTTCAGTTTGATAATTTCAGTTCTCTTGTTCATACCGTACGGTCATTGATTATATAAAGATGGATCGGATCCGTTCAAGCGTTTCATATGCGGAACAACAAACCGTAATTTAATCGGTTTCCGCGTTCTAATTCTATCTTTTAAATAGATCAATTTTGGCGAATTTTCAAATAATATTCTTACAATATTTATGTTTATATATTATTGAGCTTGTGTAACATACCGAGGTCACGAACAATTACTCTAAACTAAAATTTCGTTTACATCAGTTGCTGTGCTATTATTCCTTCCTAACAAAGAGATATCGATTATGAATTTTATGAAAATTTTTTAACACCATCTTTGAGTAAGTATAAATCTTATAAATACCATTTATATGTATATATGTCTTAAATTTTCCTTCGAAAAATTCTATTTTCATTATTATTATTATTATTTCCAAATAAAATTTTAATCTTGCCATTTAATATGGTTTCCACATTAAATGGAATTTTCGAATATATATGTAATTATATAATTATATATATAATTTAATATAATTTAATATAATTTAATCTATATGTATATATATATATATATATATATATATATTATAAAAATTAATGAATATTAATAATAATTAAATATTATATTATAATATAATATTAATTTTATATATAGGCATATATATATATATATATATATTTATTTATTTAAATATATATAAAATATATATAATTAATCGCTGTGATTAATTGTAATACAAAATTATATTCGTTTATTATTGTTCGATGATAAATAAATAACTTTTTTAGTGCGAATTTGTGTTTATAAGTGAGACGAGAAATAGTTTATTCGTCATTTTAAACTATCGATCAATCTGTTGTCCTATATACTTGAATTCATTAGCATTAAATTCATGTTAGAAGTAAAAGCCTTGAGGCTTACGAATTTGCGAAGACGTTGGTGTCGAATACTCAAAGTTATTTTCTTTTTCTTTTTTTTTGCTACAATCGATAAGTTGAGTTATGGGTCAAATGTAATCCATGAGAAGAAAATCCGTGGAAAGAATGTAAATTAGATACAACGGTTGACGTAATCTGTCGCGACACGTAGTTTATTTATTGGAAGAAAAGATCACATCTTCTGATCTGTTGAGTAACAACGAAAGAAAACAAAACAGGACGAAACTGAATATGGTAAAGTGGATAAACATTGTCTTATGTTAGATGTTTATGAATATATTTAATTGATTAATGACCGTGAAATGAATCCATCAAAAGTCAAAGCGGCTAAATTTACCGAAATAATCAACCTATTGTTATTTTTATATTTATCCTAATATCATTTTTTTATATTTAATATAAGTTGCTCTAATAATTATTATATTACAATCAATAAATGATCATGATTTTTTAATAATATAAGTATATAGATATTACATTAAAATATATAAAATATACTATATGAAAATATATAAAATATATGAAATATATTATATGAAAATATATAAAAATATATAAAATATATAAATTAATAAAAAAAAATATATATATATATATATATATAATATAATAAATAGTAAATATAAATATATATATATATATATATATATATAATATAATAAAAAGTAAAAATATTTATAGGTTTATAATATATTTATAATATAAACCTGTAAGTATTTTTATAAATTTTATTTATAATTTTTTTATACATTTTTTTTTTAAATTTGATATTAGAAATATATAATAAACCTATATAAGTTTTCTTTACTTTTTGTTTTGTGAATTAAATCGATTTGACAAATGAGCGACTCGAATATCTATGGTAAATATAGAAATCATACGACTATATCAAATTCTATTCTGTTTACTTCGAGAATGTCAGAAGTGGACATTTGTTGAATGAACGAATCAAAGGTTTTTTTTTTGATCGCGTACAGTTTCAACATTTTTTCCTTAAATCGATCATAGCAGGTTTAGTATTAAAAAAAAACTAACACGTTAAGCGCCACGTTCGACATCGGTGGCGGACACTAAACTTTCCGTTTAGGCCGCGTCTGTCATAGGTGGCGGACACCAAACTTTCCGTTTAGGCCGCGTCAGTCACCGCTGTCTGACAGCGTATAATAACAAGAACTTTCTTGAAAATGAGCGTGGCCTGACAAGAACTTCCTTGAAAATGAGCGTACGTACGTATGCGTATTAATATTATTATTATTGTAGGAAAATTGATATTTAGTCATTTCATCTTCAGTTATATATATGTAAGAGTGCGAGTGTATGGTGTACATGGAAGTGGTTGATGAAAGATTTGTAGCGATATGGATACGAGTGCATGTGGCAAGAAAGAAAAGCGTACGATATCGGCTGATGTCATCGTTTGTAAACATCCCGAAATCTCTCGAATGTTCCCGAACCGGAAATCGGGAAGAAGTCTCTTTGTTTGATCGATTGGGAATAGTGTGGAGATTTCTAGAATGATTAACGGAAGTGATCGGGACCATTGGTGGGGTGAATGCATATATAAGCGCGGTGAAGAGGGTGGTCCTCGGCCCTTCTTAATTCGGTGTGACGAGTGAGTGTTATACGAGTGTGGTTACGGTTTCTAACTCTGGTTACTTACTTTTTTCTTTCGGTCTTTATCTTAAACCTCAATACTTAAGTCTTTGTTATATTATAATAAACATTTCTTTTATTTCGATTCAATAAAATCTTATAGATATTTTTGTCTGTCTGTCTGAAACCACG